TTTTGCTTGCACTTGCTGAGCTTTGGCTTCAGCCCGGGCAGCACCAAAGAACCACACGGCCGCTCGCCCGCTGCTCCCGCGCTGGGGTGGGGAGGGCAATGGGAAGGAAGAGGCGAGACTCCGGGGTGGGGATGGAGACAGCTCTACCGAACAGCAAAGGGAGGGAGCGGTAACAACAGTAATACTGATAAAAGGAACACACAAAGCCAGGAACACACAACGCTGTTTTCTCCCCGCCCGATGCCCAGCTCCCTCCGGAGCAGCGATTCCCCTCCTCCGCCAGCTCCCCCAGCTCTATTGTGGGCATGACGTCACATGGTACCGAATACCTGATTTGTTTGGCTGCTTTGGTTTAGCCCTCCCTGCTGAAAATTCACCGTGTCCCAGCCAAACCCAGGACAGTATCCAGTCCTTCTTCTGTACTATCTACATTATGCCCATATCTTGCACTTTCCAATGAATCACCACCACTTCTCCTGTCTTTGAGAGACAGAGAGACAGAGAGAGAGATAGAGATCCACCCAGAGGCACCCACCCAGAGATATCATCCCTTAGTCTACGGGCCATCCCTCTAAACTCTCTGTTGAGTTCATTTAGTCCACGACTTTGGGCTCCAGCTGTCATAACAGTCCTACAGCGCAGGAGAGATGGTGGGTGCTGTTGGATGGTCACATGCTGCATCTGGAGCTTGCAGCTGGTGTAACTGTCATGGCCCATGCCCACGGTCTGTGGGAGGTTCCTGGGCGCCAGTTGCTGAGGTCTGGTCTGATTCTCTCACCGCTGCACTTTGCTTGGTTTCATCAAATTTCATCCTTCGTTAATGTGCGTGATTCTTACTGTAACATCATTGCTATAACAGAACCTTAGCTGCTTTTCCCCTCCTCCCCCATAGGTGGGACGCAACATTAAAAACTGGTGTCACGGACCGGATCCCCTCGTTGGTGCTAAAGCAGGAGGACTGATAAGCGATTTTCTTCGTATTGCCAGAGTCAGCCAGCCACTTCATCCACCGTTGGTGCCTCTTCACCTTTCCAGTCCATCACAGCCAATGACTGTTCATATGACAATGGTGCATTCTGTACAAACCTCCTCCATATGGGTCATGTGCACTGGAATTCATCGGGGTCTGGGGGTGATTGTGCGTTGTATGAGTCGTCATAAACTATCTCCTGCACCGCTAATTCCCTCTAGTATTGGATACCTCTCTCCATGGTGTCCCACTTGCCTGGATAACATACATTTTCACTGAGGGATCCCTTTTCCTCACGCCTGGCAGAAGTCGCCTCCAGAGGCTGAGGGCTTGTGCCTTTTTTCCAATGGCCTTGTCAATGCCCCCTTCCCTAGACAGGGATCCCTGCTGCTTGGCTTCCCTGCCCTCTAATTCCAAGTTACTGGCCCCATTATCCCAGCATCAGAGCAGCCAGGTGACAATGTGCTTGCCTGGATGGCGGCTGAAATCTCACAGCTCGCTCAAGGACAGGGATCTGGTGAGTGTCTCTGGTTCTGCCTCTTCCTCCTGCTCTCGTGATGGCCCTGCTTCATCATCATCCCTTACTGTGTGAATTGATTTTTTTGTGTGCTGCTTCTGTATACGGGCAACTCATACCAGCATGGCTGGGGCTTCTGGTTTAGTGGCAGCACCTGTCTCCAGGGTTGGGGTAGCTGCAGTACCCATTGGTTCGTTTTCCCTCTCTTTCCCCTGAGAGCACTGAATAATGTTGAACAGGGAGGCTCGGTAGGCATGGGCCAGGCCCCAGCACATTGCAGTGATCTGCGTCTCTGCAGTTTCCAAGGTGACACCATACTGGTTTCAAGTATTTTACTAGTTTGTTAGGATTCTGCACTTGTTCAGGGGTGAGGTTCAAAAACACAGGAGGTGCCCACTGTCCTAGGTACTTGCCCACACTATCCCACACACCCCGCTACTCACAGCTATCCAGCCTCGGGGTAGATCTCTGGGCAATATTCTTAAATAGTTGTTTAACCCTAAACAAGACCTGAAACACATTCAGAAGCCATAGCAATAGGAGCATGCTGGCTTGAACATCCCATCAATTCTCAAAAGGTGTTTTGACTAGCCTGAAGGAGAAAGGGAAGGTGAAACAGTGGGAGAAAGTACGTCCCCTCCATCTTCCCCATAAATTGGGGGCGATTATTAACAAATTCCAAGAGATAGTACCCAAGGTACTGCATGATAGCAATTCCACATAAAAATACCAGCTTAACTTTATGGCCAGTGATGTTATCATATAATAAGTCGATATTACACAGTCCAGCAAAATAATAACCCTGACCCTTTTCCCCGAGGTGATAAACAGCACCATAGGGAAGACATAGAGCAAGTAAGAATTTACATAACAGAATCATGTGAGCAAACAAAACAACACTGTGACCAGAAACTATTAACCTAACATAATAAATGCACATAACAAATCATGCTAAAGTTGTTTTAACACATTCTGGTCAGCCTGCCATTGTCCCACCCCTTTGTGCCCCTCACTGGGCCCCAAAAAGGACTGTCGTGGTTTAGCCCCAGTTGGCAACAAAGAACCACGTGGGCACTCTCTCACTACTCCCCTCCACCAGGGTGGGATGGGGAGGAGAATCAGAAAGAAAACACAAAACTCGTAGGTTTAGATAAAAACAGTTTAACAGAATGGCAAAGGGTGAAGAAAACACCAATGGTATGGATAAAAAGAATATACAGAGTGCAATTCTCCCCCCACCTGATGCTCAGCTTGCTCCTGAGTAGCAAATCACCCTGTTCCAGGCAGCTCCACAACCTAAGCACCAAGCATAACACCACATGGTATCAAAAACCCATTTGATTGGCTAGTTTGGGTCAGCCCAACCAGCTTCTTGTGAAAATTAACCCTATCCCAGCCAGAACCAGCATGGGTACACACTGGACTTCCCCATTCTTCCACATCACCCACCAAGCGCACCCAGCTCCTTGAGCAAAAGCGATCCCACAGATGGGTTAGCTTTTGCCCGTGGCAGGACTAACCCCTAACATATTCTTCAGGTGCACTGTGGGGACTTTATACTCTGCTACAGGATGTGGAAGTTTTGGCCGGGCAGGGTCAGCTCAATTGGCAGATCCCCTGGGGTTAACCAACCAGGCGGTCTTTGCTAAATGTGTATCCCAGTGTTGGAAGGTCCCACCCCCCAGCGCCCTCAGAGTAGTTTTTAGCAGCCCATTGCATCGTTGGATTTTCCTGGAGGCTGGTGCATGATGGGGGACGTGACAGACCCACTCAATGACGTGTTCTTTGGCCCAGGTGTCTCAGACAGCAGCGTTCCACCTCTGATGCTTTCCCACAATGCGACAGGAACCAGCAGTGAACAGGGCATGTCTCTTCTGATTTCCTGGCAGTTTATTATACAGTGGCAAATCACACATCACCTCCTCCTCTGGCAACGTTCCGCAGCCTCTGTCTTCTGGCCAGTCCATGATCACTTCCAAGATCCCTGGGTGACTGGGGTCTCCCATTCGGGCCCGCTGTGTGATCATTGCGACCCACTTACTCCATGCAGCATCAGTGGCATGAGGTGTAGAGGGGAGCCTCCCTTTGAACATCCAGCCCAGCAGTGGCAGTCCAGGTGCCAAGAAGAGCTGTGCTTCAGTGCCAACCACTTCTGACGCAGCTCAAACCCCTTCATATGCTGCCAATATCTCTTTCTCAGTTGGAGCAGAGGCAGGCCTCGGATCCTCTGCATCCCCAACTCCAAAACCCAAGGGGTAGACCTCGAGTCTGCCCTGGTGCTTTCTGCCAGAGACACCAGTAGGGCCATTCTCTCTGCCTGCGGTGCAGAGCACATTTTTAACATCTTGTCCTGCCTGTACTAGCCCAAGGGCTACTGCATGAACTCTCTCCCGTATAATTTGCTCAAAGGTTTGTCATTGCTCAGGGGCGCATTTGAAAACGCCTTTCTTCCGGGTCACTTGATAGGGAGGGCTTACAATCAGACCACAATCCCGTGTCCGTCTGCCCCTTGCTGGAGAACCCAGCATGGGTAAGTCAGCACCCGGGCGAACTGGCTGGTCCCCACCACACCAACTCCTTACCTGTCTGCATTAGCCCATCGCGGCAGCAGCCCGGACAGCTGCCCAGGCGCTGCCAGTCCCCAGCTGGGGAAGTAAGCGGATCCAGTCATGTCCAATCAAGGGGCAGCGCTTGGCCCTCACTGCACAGGGCATCCGCCCACAACCACCCCTGCAGCACCCTCTGTTCCCCATGGGCCCCTTAGTGACTGTTTTGGTGGGCACTAGGCTGCAGTGGTGGTTGCAGGCTGGGGGTGCTGTTGGTGCACTGGTGACCCAGCATGATCCTCTCGTCCCAAAACTGCTCCTTGCAGCCACCGCACTGGAAGGGCTTGGCCTCAGCCTGCCCCCCTGCCAAGGATGGGCAACCCCCATCCCACCAGCTGCCCTCTGGCACTGCCGGTGGGCCCTGCTGCACCCACTGGTGGCCCTTCAGGTGCTGCTTCTGACCTGGTGACCCAGCATGATCCTCTCGTCCCAAAACTGCTCCTTGCAGCCACCGCACTGGAAGGGCTTGGCCTCAGCCTGCCCCCCTGCCAAGGATGGGCAACCCCCATCCCACCAGCTGCCCTCTGGCACTGCCGGTGGGCCCTGCTGCACCCACTGGTGGCCCTTCAGGTGCTGCTTCTGACTGCAGATCTTCCTGCCCTCACTGCACCTGCCAGGCTCCTTGCCAGTGTGGATCCGCTGGTGGTTACTGAGGGTCCCCTTGTCCCTGAAGGCCTTGGGGCACTCGGGGCAGACAAAGGGGCGCTCCCCAGTGTGGATGCGCTGGTGGGTGATGAGTGTTCTCTTGGATTTGAAGCTCTTGCCACACTCAGTGCAGGAGAAGGGCTTCTCGCCAGTGTGGACCCGTTGGTGGATGGTGAGGGTTTTCTTGGCCCTGAAGGTCTTGGGGCAGTGGGTGCAGGCAAAGGGGCGCTCCCCAGTGTGAATGCGCTGGTGGGTGACCAGGTCGCCCTTGTGATTGAAGCGGTGGCCACAGTGGCTGCAGTGTGCGCACGCTGGTGGCTCAGCAGTTGATGCTTGAAGACAAAGCGCTTGCCACAGTTGGTGCAGCTGAAGGGCCGCTCGCCCATGTGGCTCTTGTTGTGCATGGCCAGCTCCGGGCTACTCTTGAAGCTCTTGCCACACTTGGTACAGGAGAAGGGCTTCTCGCCAGTGTGGACCCTCTGGTGAACAGTGAGGGCCCATTTGTACCTGAAAGTCTTGGGGCACCAGGTGCAGGTGAAGGGGCGCTCCCCAGTGTGGATGCGCTGGTGGATGATGAGTGTCTTCTTGTACCTGAAGGCCATAGGGCAGCAGACGCAGGTGAAGGGGCGTTCCCCGGTGTGGACCCGCTGGTGGCCAACGAGGGTGTTCTTGTCCTTGAAAGACTTGGGGCAGTGAGCACAAGTGAAGGGGCGCTCCGTGGAATGGATGCGCTGGTGGGCGGTGAGGAT